ACGTAAATTGTTCTTGGAAGAATTTCATCGAGTCTTTAGTTAAATATACTGTGAAAGGTTACTGTGGACTTGTAGTCTATATATTAAAGACCCTTTCACAGTATAAATTGTTCTAGTAAGGACGAGTGTTTTATAGTCTCTGTAAGTTTAAAAATATTAACGAGTTTCATAATATTGAAGTTGATTCTCCTATCAAAGTCAGTCAATTGTAGTTTATGAATTAACGTTTAAAAACTAAAAAAAGGCATGTGAATATAATCTCACCAATCAATCAAGCAATCAAGAACTCTAATCATTCATTCTGTCAATATAATCAAACAATATGAAACAGTAAACAATCTGAAAGACATGCGGTATGGCTTAATGACTTACGTGAGTTTGAGAAACAGTTGTGGCTTTTGTTATGTCTGAAAAGGGGTATAGAAATTTTAGGTTAAAATAAAATTTAATGAAACATTTGTAAGCCATCCACAAAACAATTATTTTTAACTTAGTACTGTATGACGGTCTTTAAAATAAAAACACATTATATCGTCGTATTATATTGTTGTATTTTTAATTGTTTAGAATTATATTGTATAGAGTATGGTATTGTTCTGGACTGAGAGCTATATACATATCATTTACAAAAAATAAGGATATTATTTTGTCCTGTTTATAAGTCAAGAAGAGTGGCTTAGTAGGATTACCAAATTCGGGCATTGGAATTAAATAAAAATGAAATAAAAATGTATATAGATATTTCATACTTGTTTGACAAAAGGTACCGATAAAAATAAATAAGCATTCACATGTGTATATATTAACATCATCGATACAAACTTCTCCGTTCTGACACGGACTGGAATCACATTCGTTAATATCTAAAATATTGAAAAATAGGTTTTTATAGATATACAGGCAAATTAAAAATAATTAAAATATTGAGGTAGTCAATATTTGAATAAGCACAGTTTAAGGCAATCAAATTTTCTATGTATCTAATAATCGTTTGTAATGAAATGGTTTTAGACGAGAAAAAAAAAAAAACTAACTCCTAACACAATAGGATCAGAATTAGGCCAATATCATATTAAGCAAATTCTTTACTCTAATCATGAATGTAAAGAAAATATTATACTAAAGCAGTGCATAGTTGAAACGTTGATCAATAAAATAAGCATTGGACATTTACCGAGTGTCAATGAGATTAAACGACTGAAAAAACAGAACTCAACCAGGAATACGCGCTTTAGTATACTTGCCACAAGTCTCTTATTTTTTTATTATTTTGCTCATTCTGGACAGCGCCACCAACGAGAAAGTAAATTTAGAGACAGAATAAGAAAAAAATCGAGTATGGGACGCCAATTAAATTAGGTATGGCGCGCACTAAGTGCAATAAAGAGTGAGTAACCCAAATTAGGGCCTAGAACCCAGGCTAGTGCTTTAGGTGAGGTCAATACGTTCTAGGCCCTGCTGTCGCCTCGCAATCGAAAACGCTCTAATATCAGGCCTTCAAGAGCCAGGCCGAAACTTACCACATGCAACTCCCACGTCCTCGGCATGACTGCAATTGTTTTCAACTAAGCTTAAACCACAGTCCCACATATAAGTTTCACTGCCATTACATCGCACGGAGTCGAACCAGATAGGACCATTACCTTGTCCAAAATCACCATAAAACAATAGTCCGTCGTAACCCAGTGATCGGCACGTAACGTCTCCAGCTGCTTCATCAAAATAATTGTTACATACAGTACCCCGTTCCCAAATATACTTGCACACAGACATATTTCCATCATCATTGCATTCAGTCCTATACCACATAATTTCCAGCCGTCCTTCCCAGGTGTTATTACCATCGACAAGCTGAATCAAATTTGCTGGAAACGAGAATAAAAGGATTTAATGCAATTACTTAAATCTGGTGGGGTTTTTTCACCAAAAGTTTTAGTAATAACAGATTATTAATGTCATATCATCATCACACTTAGCAAAGTAAACAAATTTGACTAAAAATTAATACACTTTTAAGACAATCTTTATCCTCTCTTTTGCTCACTTGAACACTGAATGTAGCCTTACTGCGGCCCTGATAAGGCAAAACGACTTAACTCAATTTTTTCATTTTTTGAGGTTATTCCATATTTAAGTAAATTTAGGGCGCTCACTTCATTTTTGAAAGTTTTAAGTCACCTAACACTACCGTTTCTGAGATAGATTTTCCTATCTCACCTTATTTTTGTATTATTCAACTCTTTTTTATGGCAAAACAACTTAACTGAAAGTTAAGTGGTATAATGACATTGATTGTTATGGCAAAATGACTTATCTTAGAGATAGCTTATCTCCCTTAAAAATACCACAAGGAAAGAAAACAATGTATCTGCATGACAAGATATATGATATTAATGTACCTAAATCAAAGTTAAGTCATTTTGCCATTACAAAAAATTAACTTAGAGGGCGAAAATCACAAATACAGCCTATTTCCAGGTAAACAAGCTACAAAAACGAATCGGTACAGTAGAGGATATGAATGAATTATGATGCTCAAACTAGCTCTGAAAAAGAAAAAAATGGTAGTTTATACAATGAATTTGATAATGTTAAATTCTAAAGTATGCCTAAGGCCTTGAGAATGTTTGGCCTAAAAACGCATGAACCTAGTCCTAGACTAGCTTAGGCGATCCTTAGGTCTACCCTACCTAGGCACTAAGGCTAGGCTAATGATGGTGGCCCCAGTTGGGGTATAGGCAGCTATTTTAGCCTAGCCAGATAAGAGATGATTCACCTTGCTGATACACAAGACTCAGAGAGGCTAGAATGAAATTGTGTAGGTCACTTTGTCTCAGTCGCAAACGCTATTATTGGCTAACAAACATGTAAAAACTGGCCTACTATTATTTTTTTGTATAGGGTATAGTTATGTGAAATATAGGCCTTTGCTAGACAAGGCCTGTTCCCCACGTGACACCCATACTCCTACCAGAGTAGTTCTATGTATTTATGAATTATAATAATTATTATAATGACACAACTGCTTAAAACTTTTTTTAAAACAAAAATTGAATAATCAATTCAATATTTTTTTTATTAATTTAACTTGCATTCCGAAAGTTTGTTTCAATATTACAGATGAAAAAGAGACAGAGGAGACATCAATGAGCCAACCTAATACAGTTTTTATAGAAAAAAGAGGAAACATCAGTCAATCTTTCTGCATAAAATATTCCCTCTAACACATAGCGCTCTATACTATCATTATTTTTTAATTGTCTTGTGGAATAGAGAATTTTGTAATCTAAATGTATGTATCTAAATGTCCATTGGTCTTCAGATATAGGGTATCTTTTAAGGTTATTCCTCCTAGGTCTCCGATGAAAAAAAATATAATAATTAGTATTCTACATAGTAAATTTACAAAAATATATAAGTATGCTGTTGATGTATATAATAGTATAAAGAGTAACAGTATTACAGTCTTATGAAAAAATATAAGAATTACTATTCTATACGGTAAATTTACAAAAATGTATAAGTTGCTGTGGATGAATATCACAGTATAAAGAGTAATAGTAACAGGCCTTTGAGGAAGAGGAGGAGGGGGAAATCATTTTGAAAAGAGAGTACTGTAGTGTTTACACATAGGCCTATTATACTATAAAAATTCTCAGGGGTTTTTTGCTGACCAATTTTATATTGTAGATTTTTTTTCTATCCTCTCTCTCTCTTTCTCTCTCTCTCTCTCTCTCTCTCTCTCTCTCTCTCTCTCTCTCTCTCTCTCTCTCTCTTTTCCTTGATAGGAATGAAGTTAATTCAAAAAAGGAAAGTTAATTTAAATTAAAAAAAAAAATAAAAATAAATGAAAATGGTAAAAGGAAAAAGAAGGGGAAAATAAAAAAGAATAAAAAAGAATTTTAAGGGAGGAGGAGCGGGAAGGTCTATTAAAGTGGATGGTGCTGGTCGGTTGAGTTTCATTGGGTGGAGGGTATCACTTTAACCATAACAACTTAATTAGTTGTGACTGAAAAAATTGCTTTTTTGTACTTTTTGTTTTTGTATGTTTTGATTATTGTGTTCTTTTCGATTGTCTTGTAAATGTATTTTTTTTTTTTGAAATTATGAAATAAATAGCATAGTTTATGAATATAGATCATTCGTAAGTTGAAATTACAATGAGTGCTTGCTATAGTAGTTCAAACCAAAGCTAGGTACTCGCTATTTCCCACCGGTCGTCAGCCGACGCGATCCTGTGAACGCAACGACGACGCGCACGCAACGGATCCTTTTTTAATGTCGATTCGTTCAGACTACCAATCGGCAGACGGCGTAGCGTCGTCTAGCGCTCACAAGAAGCGTAGTCGGATCCGTCGGTCGACGGTCTACGACGCAGTGAGTGTCTAGCTTTAGACTAACATTCCGTAATATTATAATAAGGGCGTATATAGTGTTTTACCTGAACAACCAAGCACTTCAAACCGCATGCTAATCCTAGTTTCGTAACTGATCGGATGGATTCGTATGAATTTAGCGTAAACAGGAACGTGGAAAAGGTTTGTCACCTTAGTGAACCCATCCGAGTTTCCAGTAAACACCTAGGTAAAATAAATATTAATAAATAAACAAGATTGAGTCTTCGCATAATCAATCAAATCAATCAATCAATCTATCTATCTATCTATCTATCAATATATCGATCATTCAAACAATAATTCAATAAATGATTCAATTTAAATAAATTTTATTGAAAAAAATCTCTGGCAGAGAAAACAGAACACGTTATAATACATTTTAGGCTATAATATACAAAAATACACAAATTGTTGATGTTTGCATTAAACCAATATTAAAAACATTCACCAAAATAAGAAAATTAACAAGGACCATGAGAGAGTCGATGGTTATTGACGAATAAGATTAAATATTCTGAATTTATCATTGTGCTTTGATCTTTCCAATAAAATTTCTATGTATAAATTAAAATGTTGGATCGGTTTATACAGCGCGCATATGTAAAATAATGGTCGCGCGTTTTTACCATATATTCTCACATTTTGCTATATTCGAAATTAATATTTATTGAAGTGTGATGAATAATGTATGTTTTATATCCCTAGTAAAGGTTTGAACAGGACAAAATGAAAAACAGGCTATAACTACCACCTGATATGTTATTGAAATATAATGTGTATTTTAAAAATTTAAATTTAACCTCAGTAAAAGGGTTTTTTATTTTTGAAATCCCAACTTTTCTTATGTCCTTTTTTTGTTTGTAACTTTAGCGAATGTTTTGTGTTTCCTTTACTGAATTCTTCCTTTTATTAAACTTAATTGAATGTTTATATGTTAAAAATTTCAATAAAGTTCATCGTATCGTATTTAATCCTTTTTAATAAAAAATAAAATAAAACAATACCAGTAATACACTAATTCAATCACAAAATAACTTAATCAAACCAGAATTCAATAAATCAGTCAGTCAATCATTAAATCAATCAATCAATCGTTCAACCAATCAATCAATTGGTCAGTTGATTTTACGATCTGTGGATGTAGATGAGTTTGTCAGTCAATCAATCGATCAAATTTAGTTAATATTAGTCAATTAGGCTAGTCAGTCAATTGTATAGTAATCTATTAAATGTATTAATTGATAATCATTTCTTATCACAATAGTTGTCACTGTTACATAAGGTTGAAAAGAGTTTTGAATTATGCAAACTTACTGCAACCTGATTGGTAGCGTTCAGGATTGTTTCGAAGTTGTCACCATGAATACTGTGAAGAACTTCAAAGGACTTCACCCATTGAGAGTGCTCGCGTCTTCCTTGTGTAATCACTCCAGTTACCTTAAACACAAAACCCAGGTCGGCTTGAATCCATTGATTTTGGTCGTTGATTGCAGCGGCCCATCCTCCTTTTAACCCTTCTTCTGCTTTGCTGTTGAGTCGACCACGGTCTGGCGCATGAGCTGGGCTATATTCACTTGACGCTGTCAGTTGTGTTGATGAAATTCTTCCATCTTCAACCCCAAGAGGGTCAATACAAGGATCTGAAACATCATATTTAATTATGATGACAATTATGAGAGTTTATATAAATCACTATATTTTACCTATATTTTATATTTAATAGAACTTTTTTTTGTACATTTTGAACTTTTGCATAGTCCATACTTCAGTTAGCAACTAGAATAGTTGCGTATCATACGCTACTTGGAAATTAATATACGAAGGTTAGATTAAATGCAAGAAAAGCATTTTTTAATGCATTAATTTAACCTTCTTATAATAATTTCCTCTAATATATAGACTGGTATAGATACGCACTATTCTAATGGTTTTATAACTCAATCGGCGTCGTTTAATGCTAGTTTATAATCAGGCTGATGTAGTAGTCATCGGTTGCTATAGTTATATGATAAGTATATCTGTAGATGTGCATGCAGATTGTTGCTGCAGTACGCGCTGCGCAGAGTACAATTGAAATGGTAAGTTTACACGGCAGTGCGGTGAATAATATTTGACTGTGTTTAAAGAACTTTTGTCATGAGTTTACTATTAATAGACATTCCTTAAAGATGGCCTAAACACCATTTCTTCAAGCACTTGAGAAAATACTGCAGTTAAATTTTTGGTGTCAGTGCAGACAGATGTGTGATGATTTCATCTAGGCTTACGGATCGATCTAGGCTAGGCTAGGGCTACTGCCTACATGTAATTTGTTCCTTGCGTATTTGAGATATATATATTAAATATTCAGTTTCTTTTCCAGTTCAGTTTCAGTTTTATTAGGGTCCACTGATTCAGGAAATTCCTTAATTTTAGATATTTAATATTCGATTTGATATAACTGTCTTGGGGCTCTAATCAATTACCACTTGTCAACAAACGATGATTGGGCTAGTGTCCACTCTCTCTTTCCGCAGGCACACGTTTTAGTGCTGGGTGTGAAAATACAGCCTACAATTCATCACTGTGCGTGCTACATACTCTAAAAGTTGTTTTCACCTTTCGCACACTAACCTAAAAAAATAATTAAGCCGGGAGTGCACTATATGAAAAAATACTGAACGTTTGTGGATAGGCAAATAACATTAGGAGTTGAAGTGATGACGTCACGATTTACTTATAATTTATATTATCGTATGAATATAGAACAGACAGACATTCGATTCCATATGCAGATCGGCCGGTGATAGTTCTGAAATGTGTGGCTGTCCAGAATCTCCAAATAAAATGTAGGCCTATTATTGCATATAAAATATATTACTACATTTGAATTACTTTACAGTATATTGCATTATTATTATTATTATATAATATTATAATATTTTTAAACTATAATATTTATTTAACATACCTGAACATCCAATAACCTCAAATCTCATACATATACGATGCATCCAACTGATTGGATTAATTCGGATGTATTGCGCGTAGACAGGAATATGGAACATATTTGTTACGGCAGTATTCCCATCCGAGTTCCCAGTAAACACCTTATAATACAATATCAGATATTATTAACCAAGTATAATTTATCAATCAATTAATCAATATGTCAATCAATCAAAACTATGTATAAGTAAAATCATATTTAGAAACTATAACAGTAGATAACATTAAAACAGCAAGGGGTGAGACATGAACGAATGAAGTTGAATATAGTGCATGAGCTTTAGTATATATTAAATATAAAGACATATATATATATACATATATATACAGTATATATACGTATATATATGTATATATATGTATATATATATATATATACATGTGTGTGTGTGTGTGTGTGTGTGTGTGTGTGTGTGCTTAAATTAAATCTTTACATTTTTTCTTATATATAATTCATTGAAAAATGCAAGAGCGAAAATTGTCAATTTTTAATTACGGAAACTTACTGCAGCTTGACCGCTAGCGTTCAAAATTGTTTTGAAATTTTCACCATCAAAACTGTAATGAACTTTATATGACGTCACCCACTGACCACTCCCATCTCTACCTTGTGTAGTCGCTCCAGTTACCATTAACAAAGAACCCAGGTCGGCTTGAATCCATTGATTTTGGTCGTAGACTGCAGCTGACCATGCTCCAAATTGACCGGGTGTTGAAGCAGTGTTGAGTCGCCAGTTATCTGGTCCGAAGAATGAGTTAAGTTCGGAGGATGCAGTCAGTTGTTCTGAAGGAATTGTTCCATCTTCAACCCCAAGAGGGCCAACGCAGGACTCTAGAATCACCATAATTAATTTATACACAATTATAATTAATATACAAATGTATATATATATATATATATATATATATATATATTTATATATATATAAATGATAAAGTATAACAAGAGTGCTCAAATAGGAAGAAGATGCTTTAATATATATATATATATATGTATATATATATATAATATTCTATATATATATATATAAATTTATTTGAGGAAACTGATTTGCACTCTCACTCGTCACATATGCACTACATATAGTACAAATAATTATGATACACACTAAATTAAGCATATGAACTGTTTGTATAGTCGGAACCGAATAATTTAGACAAATTCACTTGTAAAGAGTTAAAAAAAAATCAGTAAAATGTTTTCACGGTACCTGAACTGAATTTAAGTATACTTTGTATCTGGAAAAAAAAAAATAATGAATAGTAAATTAGCTATTTAAAAAAATAAATCAGAAAGAGGGATGTCATCGTGGGATTTGCCTGAATGTCCTGATTGGTGCACAGGGCAGACGTGTGACATGGATAGTTTCAGCTTGGAGAGGACTTCGCCCTCCAGAGGCCCGATAACGGCTGAAATTATGGTGATGATGAACATATATCTCATACTGTCAGTTGGTTGCTTATTCAATACATTACTCAATTAATCATTATGCATATTATTACTAAGCATTTATAGTCAGGTTTTGAGTGCACTATAGGAAATGGAAGCCAAAGGATCTATTATTTCACGAAAAACTTCTAGAAGCCCGCAGGGCATGAAGCTTATGTTTGAAGGAAATAATGGTTGCTATGGCTTCACTTCCTATAGCGTACGAAATTTTTGACTACAAATTGCTTTATAAGTCAGTTGTGGCGTCCATCACCTTTTCTATGGCCCTTTAATGAACAGTGATGACGCCAGGACCTGCCCGACGGAGGGGCTAAAGGCCCCGACGGGGAGGCTAGTTAGGCGAATCGAGTGTCACATGGCTGTGGCCAGGGGGGCCGCCTAGTGTCCCCAGTTGGGGTCCAGGGGTGAAGCCCCTTGAAGCCACGGATATTTTTGACGAATTTTTAGTTATTTGATCGGTATCGAGCTACTATAATAATACAATAACTTCATGTAGGATATGTTTCTTAATGTCGAAATCAGCTGCCACAACCAAAATATTTTGAATAAAACAAATCCTCATTCTTGAAAGTGAAATTCTACATTTTGGAAATTTTGCATAAAATTTGTTGTCAAGGGGTCGAGGCTATCCAAACGAGTATTCATAACAGAACGCAGATTATTTTTAATTAATGTCATTGATTATTATTATTATTATTATTATTATTATTATTATTATTATTATTATTATTATTATTATTATTATTATTATTATTGTTGTTGTTGTTGTTGTGTTTGTGATGAAAAGGTAACAAAAATAGTTTAATGAAAGTAAATAATTATTTTTATTTGTTTATTACCCGACAAAATTTACTCGTTTTCCCCAATAGGGGCGCTATGCTTCCCCCGAATAAATATTCATTTTATTTATGTCATTCATTTATGTCATTCATCATGTTATTTTGAATTTCAATCATTGATTTTATTTATGTCATTCATCATGTTATTTTGAATTTCAATCATTGTGCCTTTCTATGCAATGCTTTATAGGATGGTCTAGGCTGGTTCGTGTTAACCAGCACCGTGGTAGCGAGATTTGTTAGGTCAGCTATGTGCGTTCATAGCTTGGCCTAGCAGCCAAATTAATTTTCCATCGCGATGTATTGACGAAGTAATAATTAAATCATCCCAGCTTTTAGGTGTTTGCGTACAAAATCGGAGGCACTAAAATCAAATCAAATTAGTGATCAGTTGGCAATAGGAAAATTCAATGGAAATTAAAATGATGATGTTATAAATTATACAGGTATAATGATATTGACTTACAACAGATAAAGATGCATCAGAGTTTGTGGTCGGCTGTTCTTGAACTGTGCCTGAAATGAGTTTATTAATATTAGCTACGGTACGTTAATTATCTAGATACACGTACATTACATATAAGTTACTTTCAATTTTGCTATGCGATTCGAATAAACCAGACGTCGGCAAGCGATGTGGTTTTTAAACAAATATTACTAGGTTTATACCAGTATATTTTATTCTAGCTCTAGCTAGTATTTCTGATCCAAAATATAAAGGATATTTGAGGGTGTGGTGGTAAGAAGAAGCAATCCAAAGCTTAATGTAAAAAAAATGTATGGAATGAGTTGTTTAAAACCCTGTTTATTGTACTGCATTAATACAGTAATATCATATTATTTTTACACATAAAAATTATTACCTGAGCATCCAACAACTTCAAATCTCATACTTATATTTTGTGACCAACTGATCGGAGAAATTCGAATGACCATAGCGTAGACAGGAACATGGAACATATTTTCCACGGAAGTGTTTCTATCCGAGTTCCCAGTAAACACCTTGGTATAAAATAATAAATAAAAATACACAAAGCTTGTATACTTCAACAAAGTTTTAGACTTCAATCATTTTATGGATCATTCTGGATTGTCAATGAAACTGTACATCTGGCCAACTACAATAGGGCCAGAAATGCCCAATTGTCCCCAAAACGCTTACCGTATGTTGCCCCACAAACCTATTTTATTGTATTCTTTGTTTGAGCACTTTTTCATTCTGAGCGTATAGAGAAATTATGTATATCCGCCTTGCAAATTTAAGATTGGATTTGATTGGACTTTCTGTAGTTTCATTTACATGCTTTGTTGCATGGTACCGTTTGAAAAAAAAAAATATTACACTGAAGTACAAAATTGTCAAAGTTTGTTCTACGGTGTATGGTAACTGGAGAAATCATCAAATTAACGATCTCCTGATAACTAGCCTGAGTAGTTAGTACAAACACACGTCAACATAAATAAATAAATAAATAAATAATAATGATGATAATAATAATAATAATAATATCAATATAATAATAACAATAATAATAATAATAATACATTACAATGATATTATTACAGAAACTTACTTCAATTTCACCATTAGAGTTCATGATTGTTTCAAACTGTTCACCATCAATACTGTAGAGAACTTCGAATGATGTCACCCATTCACTGGCATCTTCTCGTCCTTGTGTGATCACCCCCGTTATTTTTGACAAAGAACCCAGATCGGCTTGAATCCACGGATCACTGTCATTGGACTTAGCCGACCATGCTCCTTTCAAATTACCATCTGCTGCTATGTTGAGACGTCCGCGATGAGCACCGTAATATGGACTAAACTCGGTAGATGCAGTAAGTCGCTCGGAAGGAATTGTTCCATCTTCAACCCCAAGATGATCAGTGCAAGACTCTTAAAAAATCGTATATATA